TTTGTTTTGAAAATGTACATAGTCATGTCTGGTCAAGAGCTCCAAGACATGTGAAACAAACAGGATGAAGCCTTTGCCTTTCAGTAAATTTTCTCAGCACAGTTTCTGTGATAACTATATTATTGAATGTAATCACAATTCTTTTGTTTTCCTTTAATATTATATTCAATTGTGTAAGTATCCTAAAGCTCATTCATAAATTCTCTTAAGGGCAATTGTGCATTTTTTCTGGGTTCACAAATTAATAAAGAAGATGGTATGAGGATCTTGTGCTAGCTTCTCTATTCATGTTCCATTTCTCCACAGCACAAAACTAGCGGTGGAGATGCTTCTCCTTAGGGTGACTGTGTGTTCCTGAGAATCTTCCAGTAATATTCCCATAGTGTTTCTCACATTTTCAGTCCCACCACAGTGTGGGAGAGTTCGGTTTCCTCTTCTCTCTGGGTTTTGTCTATAATTTCCCCAGACTGGATCATGGGTGGCAGGTGGACTTCCACTGCTGAACACTATGCAGGCTGGAGACCACTAGCTTGTGTTTTATTCAGTATATCCAGTTCACGTAGCCTTTCACTGCAGAGGAGAGATGTCCTTGCGCAGAGAAATCCAGTGCTTGACATTTATTAAGGACACCCATGAACGTTCGAAAGCTAAAATTCGTATAAAAATGCTAAGTCCATAGAATCAGAGGGTAAAAGACTGGTTACCAGAAAAAGGACTGGGGATGCTAACAGGAAAACACAGGTCAAAGGGTGCAGCTGTGAATGAGAAGATGGACGTGTTCTGAAGATTCGGCGTCCAGCATGGGAGGTGATGGCTCTCTGCATATGTCTGTGGTAATCATTTCACCACGTGTGCACATCCCTTCATCAAATCACCTCTTATGCATTCCATACATATCATCACTGTCCATTAAACATTTTAAAACTTAGCAGGGTAAAATATTGAAAAGGGCTGTGGGGTACATGTGATGTTTTTCATATGTAAATATCTTCGCCAGTAGCCTTGTTGATAAGATTCAATTTAATGAGTTTGTTGCTATCCCACACAGTAGGGAGCTGAGCGCATTGCTTTTAGCAGAGACATAGTCATACAAATAAGCAACATCTGGCATTGCCACTCAAGAGGCCACAGTGACTGGTGAAATAGAAAGCTACTGCTGCTCTGTGCTAAAGCACGGGGAGAAATCATGGCAGTGATCGAGTGAGGGGAGCAGCCAGCTCTTTTCAGAATCTCATCCTCAAATCAGGGAGAATAGGAAGAAGCTGCATTTCTCAAAGCTGACAGGGATAAATAAAGGGAAGTGT